GTTACCAGAAAGGAAGGAGGTGGAGGGATGGGCAAAAGGGATAAAGAAGTATGTACATATGCTGATGGATAAAAACTAAACTATTGGTGGTGAACACGATGCAGTCTATACAGAAACTGAAATATAATAATGTACACGTGAAATGTACACAATATTATAAGCCAATATGACCTCAATTAAATAATTTTTTCAAAACTGGAAAATAAAGCATAAGAATTAAATATTATTAATTCTGTCTTTCCTATACAAACCACACCAGTGAGTAACCAAATAGTTACTTGACAGATGTATTCCTAGCTAATAAAAAAATGAATGACAGAATAAAAATTTCACCATTTTCCAACTCTCAATGAATTAATGGATTTAGGCATTAATCATTAATACCTACTAATAAGAGACAACCAGACACTGTGTGCCTCTCAATAGAACACACAAAGTAATCCTCCCTCCACAAAAAATCCTGATCAAACCTTCACATCCAGCTACCAATTTACAGGAAATATAAAAGAGAGAGGAGCATGTCAAAGAACACGGACGTAATCAGCAAAATAAGCTCAGTGGGAAACTCTATAGGACAAATAATCTGATTTCTTCAACAACGACCAAAAAAAGAGAAAAGAAAGCAAATAAAATAAGAAGGGAGGAAGCTATAGGTAAAAGAGATTTAAATGCATCATCTTGGACATCCAGCCAACTGCAGCCCCACGTGACATCTCACTCACTACCAGCACATGAAACTTGAGTGAGAGCCACCCGTTGGGACAGCCAACCCCTGGAGCTCGCAGTATCAATAAGACACTGAATGGGGCCAGCCCAGTGGCGCAGCAGTTAAGTTCGCACGTTCCGCTTTATGGCAGCCTGGGGTTCGCGGGTTTGGATCCCAGCACAGACATGGCACCGCTTGGCAAAAGCCATGCTGTGGTAGGCGTCCCACATATAAAGTAGAGGAAGATGGGCACGGATGTTAGCTCAGGGCCAGTCTTCCTCAGCAAAAAGAGGAGGATGGGCAGCAGATGTTAGCTCAGGGCTAATCCTCCTCAAAAAGAAAAAAAAGACACTGAAAAAGAGAGCAAGACATCAACCAATCACAATGTATGGCCTTATTTGGATCCTATTTCCGAAGAAACCATTAAAAGTCTGCATTTATGAGGACTATTGGAAATAGAAGCACTGAATTAATACCTGATATTATTAAGGAATTATTGTTAAATTTTTTGAGACGTGATAATAGTACTGTAGTTATTTCTTTAAGATCCCTTATTTTTTAGTTATGTACTGAAATATTCACAGATGAACTTATGCATAATCTGAGATTTTCTTCAAAAGAATACAGGAGGGGCAGCCCAGTGGCACATTGGTTAAGTTCACACGTTCCGTTTTTCAGTGGCCTAGGGTTCGCCAGTTCAGATCCCAGGTGCAGACATGGCACCACTTGGCAAAAGCCACGCTGTGGAAGGCATCCCATGTATAAAGTGGAGGAAGATGGGCATGGATGTTAGCTCAGGCCCAGTTTTCCTCAGCAAAAAGAGGATTGGCAGTAGTTAGCTCAGGGCTAATCTTCCTCAAAAAAAAATAATAATAATACAGGAGAAGGGAGAGTGGGTGAAGGCACAGACGAGAGCAAGGTTGGCCATGAGTTGAAAAGGTTGAGTTGGATGATGGATTTATGGGAAGTCATTATACTACTCAGTTTATTTTTGCATATATGTTTGAATTTTTTTAATTAACATGCCATTGCCTCAATTTTACCATCCTCCAATCTGCCCCTCAACCTGAAGTTGAGGGTGGATCATTTTGGGATACTTTGTTTCTCTGTTTTTATAACATTAACTCAGCATTGCAAACAGTTTGAAAAATCCCTTCCAATTCACAACCAATTTCTTGGACCTTCACACTATGGTATCCACATCGGTCTAAAATTGAATAAGGCTGCTATGAACATGCTTGTACATTTTTTTTGGTAGACATAAGCACCCATTCCTGTAGGGTATATACCAGAAGTCAAGTTGCTGGGTCACGGGTATTTGTATGTACAACTTCAATAAATACTGCCAGTTTTTCAAAGTAGTTGCACCATTTACACTCCTAGAACAGTGTATGAGAGTTCCCATTGCTCCACATACTCACCAACACTAGTATTGGCCATCCTTTTACTTTTCTAAATAGATTTTTATTTATTTATTTATTTTTATTTTTATGAGGAAGATTAGCCCTGAGCTAACATCTGTTGCCAATCTTCCTCTTCTTGCTTGAGGAAGATTGTTGCTGAGTGAACATCTTTGCCCGTCTTCCTCTATTTTATGTGGGACACTGCCACAGCGTGGCTGGACAAGTGGTGATAGGTCCGCGCCCGAGATTTGAACCTGCGAACCCCCGGCTGCTGAAGCAGAGCGCGTGAACTTAACCACTAGCCACCAGGGCGGCCCCCATCCTCTTAATTTTAGCTACTCTGGTGGGAGCTAGTTGATTTCAAGGCTCCTTAATGACCAGGACAAAAATAAGGTTTCTGACCTATCAAAAAAGTCAGTATGGTGGTTATCTCTAGTGGGAAGGGAAGTTATGAGAGGAAGGCAAGGGAGATCTCTGGAGGCTGGTAACGTTCTATCCTTATTGTCAGTGGTGACTATATGGGTATTTTTAAATATTATTTTTTAACTATATCTGAATTATGCTACACTTTGCAAGTTTTTTAAGCGTAGGGGGAAAAAGAATCTGTCTGAGAAAGGGCTGCTATTCTGCTACCCTCCCACCTCCTCCCTCCTCGGGCCCTTCTTTAGTGGAGGACCACCCCACGGGGAGGATGCTGCCCCACCTCCTCCCTCCTCGGGCCCTTCTTTAGCGGAGGAGCACCCCCCAGGAAGGATGCTGCCCCACCTCCTCCCTCCTCGGGCCCTTCTTTAGCGGAGGACCACCCCCCAGGAGGATGCTGCCCCACCTCCTCCCTCCTCGGGCCCTTCTTTAGTGGAGGAGCACCCCACGGGGAGGAGACTGTCCCAAGGGAAAGCCTATTCTTCGTTACCTCCTCAAGTCTGTGAAATTAAACATGTGCAAAACATTATAGAGAAAGTTCAAAGAAAATTCCAATTCATCTTAAAGTGACTTGGATTAAACCATTTCCACAGTGTAGAAACATAACCTTTGCATTATTATTCATCTAGTGAACAAGCATTTTCTGCTTTTTAACGCTTGCTTTAGTTTCTACAAAACTCTTCAATCCCTAGTCCCTATCCTTAAGTGATACTGGCAATGATCATTTATTAAGCACCTACCATCCAACTAGTATGATGCTATGTACGTTATCCTTAATCCTCATAGCATCCTTGAGAGCTAGGCAGTATTATCCACATTTTACAGATGAGAAAACTAAGGCTCAGAGAAGCTAAAGAACTTGCCCAGGCCACACAGCTAATGGGTGGCAGGGAAAGATGTGAAGCCTTCTCTTGTCTCTCCTGACCAGGTCTCATCTCTCTTCCCAGGTTTCTCTTTACACCAAACCCTCACCTCTGCCCATCTCACCATGTTGCCAGCCCTACTGCCATAGGAAAACCCAACAACATATTTCTTTCTCTTACAGAAAAGAGCCAGAGAAGATAATCCAAGTAAACTCACATCCAGCTTTAGCACTATCCATAGTGTGAAACAAGATAAGGTTTCTGAGTACACAGCAACTCTCATTGCAGGACAAAGGAAAAGCCCCATGCTTCTGCAGGCAAACTAGACCTGACACACGTCCCTCACCCAGAGCACCTCCCCATGTAGCACGTGGCTGCCATTCCTCGCTGCCCCACGCCCTATTCAGCAGCTAGAAGAAACAGCAGGGAGAAAGAAAAGGAAAAGCCAGTCAGTAATCTACACTCATCCTCCCACCAGAAAGCCCTCAAATGACCCTAGCAGTCTTGATCACAGAAGGACAAAAATGGTGAGGAAGAACGTGTGTGTCAAGTCCATGAGAGCATGAAGGCATGCACTGAGAGGAGGGAGTGAAATGAGGCCTAGTGAAGAGAATACAGTCCTCTCAATTCTCACTCTCTCCTCTAACTCACCCCTCTTGGCCACAGCCTAGTCCTTGCCTCCTCTAAAGCTCTGATACCACTGATCCCAGGCCAGCGTCCAGAGGACCCCGTCACGCAGGGGTCCCTGTTCGAAGCTGCAGAAACCGTCAGTGATCTAGATATGGGAGACTTTCCACTCCTGCTGCTTAACAGGGAGGAGAAGGGAAGGACCAGGCAGCACAGCTGCTCCCAGCTCCAAAGTGGGACTCTGCATGTGTTTTCCCAGAGTCACTGTTAGAAAGGGGAGTGGATCCTAAGGTATTATTAATCCTGCCCTCACATATATGGTGGATCATAAGCTTTTGTGGGATTGATCTGAGACCCTACACAGCATCCATAACGTGGTTTCTATATAGAAGCACTCTAAGTCCCAAACAACTAATTAAGCAAACAACTTTCAGAAATCAAAATGTTATCTTTTGGGCACTAAGTTAAATTCACTAGCCCCAACCTCTGGGGCTGATGTTTCTTTCTTTTTTTTTTTTTAAAGACTGGCACCTGAGCTCACATCTGTTGCCAATATTCTTTTTCTTCTTCTTCTTCTTTTTCTTCTTCTCCCCAAAGCCCCCCAGTACATAGTTGTATATTTTAGTTGTGGGTCCTTCTAGTTGTGGCATGTGGGATGCTGCCTCAGCATGGGCTGATGAGCGGTGCCATGTCCACACCCAGGATCTGAACAAGCACAACCCTGGGCCGCCGAAGCGGAGTGTGTGAACTTAACCACTCAGCCACGGGGCTGGCCCCCCTCATGTTTATTTCTCATCCTTTTTTAGAAAGGATAGAAAATCCTAAATGACCAGCACATAATCTGCTATATAATTACACTAATGATTCTAATTTCTAAATGCACATTTTAAGAAATATTCAGTTTATTAATATGTAGTAAGCTAGAAATGGTCTTTTCAGTAACTTCCAGGATAAATGTGATGTTAAAGAAGTCATGTTCACCTTTCCTTCTGAGAGATCACATATCCATCTAGGACTCTGAGGTTCAAGCACCAGCTGACGATGTACGGCCGATAGTCAAACCCTGGAATGGAAGGCGTTGCCATCACACAAGGATTGTTCATGATCGACAACTGTTCCAATTCAGTTAAGGATGCCAAAAAAGAGATCTGGAACAAAGGACATCTTTGTTGAATGAAATGGACTACCCAGTGTCAAGCACAGGGCTTCCGCTGATTACACATCTTTGGCAGTTTGAGAATGTAACAATTTCCCTCTTGTTCTGAAAGGCGACAAGTAACACTCTTATATTATCCACTGACTTCCAAAATTCCAACAGTATGGCCATCTGTCCTTGCTGCACCAAGTCCCTTAGAAAGTACCAGCCCTGTTTCCCAGCAGAGAGAACCCTATTTTGAAATCATAATAGCAGCCAGAGAAATGTGCACAGCGTGCCTTATTAACCCCTTTAATGCAGATGTCCCTCTACCACCAATCACTTCCAAATGGAATGATAATTGCAGCATTACAGATTAATTAAGCCTTAACGAACCCCTGGCATTTAGAATAAATGGAAGGAAAAACAATGATCATCTAGAGCCAAGTCTTTCATCTTGATGGCAGTTTCTTCCAAGACGCTCACTGTCCACAAGCGAGCTCACAGCTTTCTCCTGCATCTCCTCTGGACTTCCCAGTTTCCTGAATCCCACAGAATACCCTCAAATTTTACCTCATTTAAGTCCCGAACTTCATTTTCCGCCAAAGAAAGTATAGCCAGACTCCTGGGTAGATAAGCAGGTGCCATTCTCAGAGAGGTGATGATGTTCCCATGTAAAAGCAGGGTCTTGAAAGTAAAAACAGGAGGAATTACAAATGAAAAGATTACAAATAAATTGGTCTATTTTGACCAAACCAAAAGGGTGTGTACAAAAACAAAGGGATCTATTTTATCTTCTCATCGCACACAAATCAGAGACTGTTAATGCTAAAAGGGTCCTAGGGGGTCTTCTGGTCCAACTTTCTCTTTTTACGTCCACATTCTAAGCTCGAGAAAGTTTAAAGACTTGTCCAAAAACACGACTGGTGTAGCAACTAGCATTTTGTGTCTTAAGTTACTAAAACTGGAGCAATATCCAACATACTTGTTCATTTCTTTTTAAAACATCAAAATAGAGGGTGAGAAAAGTGAAAGAAAACATTCATTAAAACAATCACATATAAAGCAAATTCTCCAAAAGAGAGAGAGAGAACCCACAACCTATAATCTGCAACTGTATTCTCTTGGAAACTAAAAGCTTGAGGAAGGTAGAATGTGCCACCTGCAGATGAAGCAGACTCAAATTAAGTCAGCAACAATGAAGAATACATCAAAGACTCGACACTCAGGACTCTAAGATAATCTTGCCTCCGTTCCAGGAAAAAAAGAAAACATCTTTAGTTTATTTGAATTCTCTTAGTATCTGGCTACATGAAATTGTTTAGAATAATTGTTGCTAAAAATGGTTTCTGCTAAAGATGTGTGAAAAGTTGAGATAATAATACTGTTTCCAAGGCTTAATGAGTTCATCTGATGCTAATAATATCCAATGAAGCAAAAATATGGACAAACCCTACATATGGTGTTTTGTTTTGGTGAGGAAGATTGGCAACATATGTTAGCTCAGGGCCAATCTTCCTTTTTTTGTTTGAGGAAGATTGTTGCTGAGCTAACATCTGTGCCAATCTTCCTCTATTTTATACGTGGGATGCTGTCACAGCATGGCTTGATGAGAGGTGTAGGTCTGCACCCAGGATCCGAACCCATGAACCCCAACCCGTAAAGTGGAGCAGGCAAACTTAACCACTGTACCACTGGGCCGGCCCTCCTACGTAAGTTTTTTGAAGCTGTGATTCCAACTGTTACTTATTTGGTTGCGTGACGCATTCTGCTCCATAAACAGTGCTATATGCTACAGGTTTATTTTCTAAATTAAAGTGAAGTTAATTCTAATAATCTAGTAATACCTATTACCGAAAAAACAGCAATCCTGAGTGTCAAAAAAACAGACTCAAGTTCAGGAATGATTACCCTCAACCTTACCAACATGTTCTGTTCTATATAACTAAAGCTGCTGGCCTTGGCTGGTTGGGCGTGAAGGGAATTTCATCATGTTCAGAAAACGGTAAATAAGAATTAACCTAAAGTACAATGACTAGTTTTAGTTAAAATAAATCAGTTATAGAAACTAACAACAAAATATTCCATACTTAATTTCTGGTATTCTAATAGAATTTTTATCATAACAAACACAACCTGTTCTTCTTATACAGCAGGCCAATCAAATCACTTTCTCTTGGTATTTTAGTATAAAATTCCAGAAACGCTATAGTCAGAAAACACACCTTCAGTGATAGCAGTTTAGACAGGTCACCTATTTGGGGTATGCTATTGTCCGATAAATCAAGGTGCTGTAGAGCTGCGCAGCTATTGATCTGTTCCATGGCCTATCACAAGAAAAGCATCACATTAGTCCATGCATACAAAATCAAAAAATGAAATTCTTCCCTCGTTCTTTGTAGCCGAGCCTCCTGCCTCCTCTGCTTATTACTAGAAGCAGAGGTGCAGGGCCCAGCAAGAGAAAGAGGGAGCAGTGTTAACAGAATTTGGTAAACTGTTATGTAGCAAGCTTCCACCTTCATTATCCCTCTAAGAGTAGAGGATCATATCATCTTATACTTACAGCTTGAAGAAACCTTAGTGAGGACACATGACAGTTGGTATAGCATAGAGTTAATAGTTAAGAGTGGAGCCAAACTGCCTGGATTCAAATACCAGCTCTGGAACTTCCTAGCTGTGTGACCTTAGGCAAGTTAATTAACTTCTCTGTACTTCAGTTTCTTCATCTATATAATTGGCATAATGACTATACCTACCTCATAGGCAGTCAGGAGACTGAATGAGTTAATACAGTTAAGGTGCTTAGAGTAGTGCCTAGCTAAACTAACTATTCAATCCAGTCCCCTCATCTAGCATATCCAAAAATAAGACAGATAATTACTAAAGTACCCAAAATTATAGAGCTACTGAGCGGTGGAAGCAGGACTAGAATCCAGATCTCTTGACTTTTAAAGCAGCATATTGTCCACCGTACCATTAAACATCTACTTAAAGCGTAATTCAGCACGCTACAGTTGCCCTCCTAACATTGCAGTCTACGTTTTTAAGTATAACATAGATTCTCTGTTCACATCTGAAAGAATATTGCACTGCATTATGGGTTTCAAAATGAGATTTTTTTCAGGATACATTAACTGAAATTATCCCTGAGGAGTGGGGGGCAAGTACTTTTACTTTTTATCCTACTTATTTCTATACTGCTCGAATTTCTTTTTTACAGAGAATACTTTCCTAAATTAAAAAAAAAAAGCTAATTACTATAAAAAAAAAGAAAGAGAAACAATTCACCTTGAGATTATTTCCTGCCAAATTGAGCCACTCCAAATGCACGAGCTCCTTCAGCCCCTCCACGTAGCCAATGCTATTGTGAGGCAAATTCAGCACCCGGAGCTGGGTGAGCTTGGCCACACCCATCATCCGCACCAGCCGATTATTCGCCACTGACAACTGTGGGAAGGAAACATATTCTTAGGAATAAAATGTATGTATTCCTTTCACATTAGGGTGGTTCAAAAGATTTGTTTATATGGCCACACATTCCCAAATAGACAAACCCAATTTGTACCTTTCAATATATTGTCTAAATATTCTACAGTGTAACTATTAGTTTGTTGCTGTTCCTAAGCAACGGAAAATACAGAACAAGGTCAGCAATCAGACCTCCTCCAACCACTAAAGAGAAAAAATTTTTTCTTTTTTTAAAGATTGGCACCTGAGCTAACAACTGTTGCCAATCTTTTTTTTTTTTTCCTGCTTTTTCTCCCCAAATCCCCCCAGTATATAGTTGTATATTTTAGTTGTGGGTCCTTCCAGTTGTGGTATGTGGGACGCCGCCTCAACGTGGCCTGATGAGCGGTGCCATGTCTGCGCCCAGGATCCAAACCGGTGAAACCTTGGGCAGCCCAAGTGGAGCGTGTGAACTTGAACTTAAACACTTAGCCACGGGGCCGGCCCCAAGAAAACATTTTTAACTCAGCAACTAGTTGAGAATGTAACCTCCACAAAATAGGGTGCTTACACTGTCTCAGTCAAAACCTAGAACAGGGCCAGACACACAAAAAGGGCCCAGTCAGTATTTGTTGAATGAATGAATGAATGAACGCTACTCTCATCCTGAGGTAAAAGGTTATCTTAACAACACAATATTTTACCAACATAAAATGTTTTCTTTTTTAACAAATGCTGCTTCTTCTAGTCTACTCCAAATGTAGCATATATGTGTTCATCTTCAGGAGAAACTGTCATGTAAAAATTTAAGGGAACATTTACTGCTTTCCAGGCCTGTAGTTACTTTTTGTTAGGTTATTTTATTGTTTTATGTTGTATAATAATAAACTTTTCCTATATAACTATTTCCCCAGATAGCAATACCTACCTGTATTAATCGTCTGCATTTCTCAAGATTTTCCAATTTAATAATCTGATTTTTATCCAGAATCAAAGTATGAATATCAGCTTCACAAGGTAAGTTTGGACTTAATTTCTGTAGCCCCTGTCCTGACCAATTGACCACTGACCCTTGAAAAGAGAGAGAAAAATGTTAGAAAATGCAAATATGACAGCCCTGAGCCTAGGGACAGAATTATACTCATAAAATCTCTATAAATTTAGAGTAAGAAAACACTAAAGCATAATGAATATCAAGATTTTAAAACTAAAGCAATCAAGCTGTAAATGACCACAGACTGAAATTACTCACTTTCCCTCAGAAATATCAAATTACATCTAGATTTGTGATATTCTACTCAAGTTTCTATGATGCAATACTTTGGAATTCTTCACATTTAAATATGAACTATTACTTCCATGTTTGGTGCCTAAGTAAATAAACAAAATAAATAAATAAATAAAATCTTTTGATGGAGATCAACCTGCCTAGAACCCAACTACCAGAACATCCTAAAGTACCCAAACTATTTTGAAAATCAAAGCTCAGGTAATTTATCTACAAAATGGGAATAATATACCTAATAATTAAATTGATGTGGGGATGAAAAGAGAACTATGAATAGCATTCAACAAAGTAATTTAGTATAACAGACGTTTAAATCCTGGCTCCGTCAGTTAACCACTGTACTATCTTGGGCAAGTATTGATCTCTTTTGGGCTCACTTTTCTACTCGGTAAAATGGGGATGATAATAATACCTGCTTTATAATGTTTTACAGAGATGAGATAATGTAAAAAAAAAAAAAACCACTCAGAACATCCTCTGGCTCATATAAAAAGTGCTCTTTAAGTGTAAACTGCTATAATTGTCAGTAAATTACCTTGGTGGGCTAGGGGTGTGGAGTTTAGGAGAGCTGATTCAGAGGGGGGCGGGGCCAGAGAAACTGCCGATTTCAAATTTATACCCACATTAAGATTACTCTGGGAAAGAATCATGTGAGATTGCTCTTCAAAAGGGTTTCAACGTTCCACTATGATTTCTAGTATTGGGGAGTCCTGGGGTTCTCCGAGAATTTGGTGAAAGATGTGTAGTGTCCCGGAAAAATGCATAGCCTCTGCACACACTTCCAAGGGGTCGACAGATCTCTTAGAACCATCGATGCCCCGCCTCCCAAGAAGTTACAGCCCCCAGATAACGAGCCCCTGACCTAAGCCCGACCCGGAGGCCGCGCCGAGCCCGGAGCTGTAACCCAAACAAAGGAGCGCGGCTCACGCCCGGCGGCTCCGGCCACAGAAGCACCACACCCCGCGCTCGGCTGGGCGCGACCAAACCCGATCCCAGAACCCCGTCCGCTGAACGAAGGGTGGAGAACTGCGGGCTCCGGGTCACCCCCGATTTTATCACTGCCACCAGACACTTCCAAGAATGAGTTCAACGTCAGTCTAGGGAGCTGTGCTCAAGGTTTCCTGAACGTTCTAGGAACCGAAGGGAAAGGGGGACGCGTAAAGCGAGAGAGGGAGATCTTGCAATTTTCACTTGGGCCCCCAGAACTCAAACTAAACATCCAAAGAGGGTCACCCCAGCCCGAAACCCACCACCCAGGCAGCCTGAGGAGCGCGGGAGCCGGGATGCCTGATCGCGCGAAGGCCCCTGGGGGCTGTAGTCCCCCGCTCGGCCCTCGCCACGACGCCGGAAAGCTAGGCAGGGCCGAGAGACTACAATTCCCAGAGGGCAGCGCGCCCCCACACCACCCACAGCCCCGCATCAAAAGAACTGGTCCAGAACTGCACCCCTAAGCCCAGGCTTCTCTCCATCAGGCAAATATTTAATTCAGTTCCATGTAGTAAACCTTCGGACTCACAGGTGGGGATCGCCTTACCATCTCCAGGAGGCAAAGCTGCGTCGACGCGCGCCACCGCCATACTTCCCGCTTGCTAATAATACCAAGCAACCGTCCTCCAGCGGCTCTGTGGAGCTTGTAGTCGGGAGGAGGGAGCGCAAACTACAGCTCCCAGGATGCACCGCACGCAGACGGCCCAATCGGCTGCCTACGCCTAATGACGAAAACCCCGGTTAGACTCAGAGCTGCAGTGAGTTAGGAGCTCGGGCGAGCTCCCTTATTTCACTGATGAGCAAACTGTTACTAGAGGATCATTTCACTCCCTTTTCTAGGTGTTTGTGAAATTTGACACTTTTACCATGGGGATGATTATAAGTTCACTACTTAATGCAGACCGAATCCGAAAGCTCATTGCTAGAAATCTCCGTGGGGGCTGCCCCTTCTTTTGACAATTCTGAATCCGTTGAAAGTTTTGCCCTCAGCTATAGGAATGACTAGGGCGATCTGGTTGAGATAGTCAAAATGGATGTATTTCATTTGAAAATTTAGTTAAAGCATCCTGGGATAGAAGCTTTTCTATTTGTAAGTAGTTGTTCTTGAATAGTTAACAGAACTTTAGACCTGGGAGTATATTTACTAAGTATAAACCTGGAATTTTTCCAAGGAGTATACAAAAGAATTTTACACGATAGTCTCCAAACTCAAGAATTACACTGCCGAATTGGAGAGTAGGCTCACACTTTTTATGTAACTATGAACTCAATAAAGTTTTAGGGAATGGAGAAAAAAATGGAAACTATAATCTTCACAGAAGACTTGAAGGAGAAAGTAAAACAGAGCTAGGACTTAAAAGATGGGTAGACTGTAAACAGTTCAGAAGTAGAAGATGAAAAGACATTAGCAGAGGCTGCAGGTGGGGGCAGGTGGGAATGAAGCTATGCTCACGGGAAGTAAGAAATTAACCAGATAGCACCACAGAATGTACAAAAGGAGCTTCCAGGTTCCACTACCGGCTCCTCCAGTTCCGCTTGCAACCTTTATTCTAAATTCTCCTCTTTGTGAAACAGCAATGTCCAAAATCTCTGATAGTTTCTTTTTGGGAAAATCCAGGAACTCATACTTCTAGATTTGCAGGAACTTGATTCTGTGAGCATTCCCTCTTTCCTGGGTTCTCCTCCTCTCTCTCTGACTACATTTCCTCACTTTTTTTTTTTTTACTCTATTTCCCACTGTTTTAGTCTGAAAACATTTCCTAGTTCTGAAGAGGGAATTAAAACTAGGAGTTTTTTTCTCCTAACCAAGAGACCCCTTGCCTAGAAAGCACAGTCTTGCTGTATAGGTGTAAGAACAAAACAAGCCTGAATCCTGCCTGCCTGGAACGGCTGGTGAGGATGGAGGAATCCCCAGCTCAGGGAGGGGGAAAGCGTTTACAGCTCTCTCCAATTTAGCGGGGTAATGTCTTGGGAGGGGGATCCTGGAAGCCCAGAGGGTACTTGAGGAGCACAGATTCTTGTAAGTTTACAGCAATAGCAGAACCAGAGTTTTGTCTGGTTCATCTGACCTGGGATCCTGAGGAAAGGGCCAAAGAATTCCTTTGATGTGGTTAACTAAGTATAGTCACGGCTCCTAAAGAGAGTGGCCAGATATTCAAGGGCCCAGTCCCACGTGCCCAAGTGAACCAGAACCCTTTAAAATCACACCGCAGAAATTCTTTTGTGCTTTGGATACAGCTTTTACATCTAAAATCAGATTGCTAGGCCCTGGTGGCCTGGTGGTTAAGTTCAGCTCAATCCACTTTGGTGGCCTGGGTTCAGATCCTGGGCATGGACCTACACCATCATCTGTTAGCAGCCATGCTGTGGTAGCATCCCACATAAAAAAGAAACAAAGAGGAAGATTGGCAACAGGTGCTAGCTCAGGGCAAATCTTCCTCAGGAAAAAAAATTAAAATTAAATTGCTACATTCTAACTAAATTGCCTCAACTTGTATACATGTTAAACTCTGCAAGCTCCAATCAATTTGGAGGATTCTACTGACCAAGACTGTGAACCTCTCAACGAGGTTGCACTATTTGGCAGGCCCAGGCCCCACAAACAAGATTTTCCTTCCTATCAGTTCAGTATACCTGATCTCTGCCATAGCTGATGGCCCGACTCCTCTCCCCCATCTCTAGTTCATCTGCCCACTGCTGCTGGCATGATCTAAGTAAAACAACACCTCTCATGTGTTAATTCCCTCCTCAAAGCCTTGCCCCTTGAAATTCAACTTTCAAAGGCGGCCATAATCTAGCCTCACCCTACTTCCCACCATTCATTCCACTGCTTTTCATTTGGTGTTTTTGAGTGAGGGACTGACAAAATGAAACTGGTGTTTTAGAAAAGTTAAATTGCTCGTATAACAAGGATGAACTGAAAAGTAGAATGGGGGAGGAAGAGACTGTTGTAATAGTGGATGGTAACCTTTACCAGAGCGGTTTCAGGAGGATATTATATCCAAGTTTAGATAACAGAGTTAAGAGACTAGGTAGATGGGGAACTGGACAGCATCTGTGGGTGGTGCAATTGACCTTGACAAAACAAAGAGGTTTTCTAATTGGCATGAGAACTTAGATTTGAAAGAAGTTAGTATAATAATTCTTATAATAAGTAAGTCTTAAAGTTTTAAAACTAAGAAGTTAATATAAAGAATTTTGACACAATATATTTCAAAAATGTGCCCTTTTTTTTACAATAAAAAACCTTTATTTACATGAAAGGTGCATAAAACTAAATGTTTTCTTCTCTGGTTAGTATTCATTGGTAGATTCTCATGGTCCTGCTCCCTTATCTATGACCTATGACATGGAAGGAGAGACGGCCACTATGAAATATCTATTCATGGGTTATCTAGAAGCCCCAAATGAGCAATAATTTTCCTTATCATTATTACCTCTTGCTATGTGCTAGGCTTTGTGACAACTACTTTACACATCTTTGCTCTAATTTTCACAAAATCCATGCAAGTAGATCCCAAGAGCTTATTGTTTCCAGATAAAATACAGGACACTCTGTTAAATTAGAATTTCAGACAAAAAAAAGAAAAACTTTTTCATATAAATATGTCCCAAATATTGCATGTATATATTGTAATATATATACTAATACATATTAGTATATATTTAGAATATATACTATAATATATGCTCATTTTTGGCAACCCAACAAGAGGTACGTCATTTATCCAAGGACAGAATTTTGAATCCATGTGCAACCACATATTAGCTTTTCTGACAATTTAATTTGAAATTCTATTGCTGCACATTTTATTTCTCTGGTTGTATTAACAAATTTAGTAATTTTGCAAACTACGAGTATGTATATTCTTAAGACTATATATACGTATTTTTCAGGTTTTTGTGTTCAAAAAAGAAATTCTGGAAGGAAACTATTAGCTGTGGTTACCTGAAGGGAGGCTGTCTTAGTTCAGGCTGCTCTAACAAAATACCATAGATTGGGTGGCTTAAACCATGAACATTTATTCTCCTAGTTCTGGAGGCTGAGAAGGCCAAAATCAAGATCCAGGCAGATTTGGTGTGTGGTGAGGGCCCTTTCCTGGCTGGAGACAGGCCCCTTCTTGCTATATCCTCACATGGCCAAGTGAGGGGTCATCTCTCTTGTCTCCTTTCTAAGGACATGAATGTCATGCCTGAGGGCTCCACCCTTGTGACCTGATTACCTCCCAAAGGCCTCCCCTCCAAGCATTATCACAATGAGGATGGGGGCTTCCACATCCCAATTTGGGTAGAGGGAGGAAGGGCCAGAAACGTTCAGTCCATAGCAGAAAAAGAAAGGGAAGTAAATTGATGGAGGACAGGATTGGGGAGAAAATTTTCACTGACCACATTTATGTAATTTTTTAAAGTCATAGGAATGTATTGCCTATTCAAAATATCACATTTTATAAGAATATGAAATAAAAAGCAGTTGTGCCATGACGACAACAGACAAAAAATTATGACTACAGTGTCTCTGGCTAACAAAAAGGCTCGAGGGAAACGAGGAGCCTGAAGTGCATGAGAATGAGGAGAACCCACGAGAGGAGGAATACCCGTGAACAGCTACGTTCCAATGAGACAGGGAGGGGTGATGTTGCTTTGCCACTCACTAACTACCACATCTGGTTAATGGGAAGATGTCTGAGGTAAAAGTTGGTTTTTTTAAAGCATGTTGCAATAAAGTAAGTATGCTATGATCCAGGTTTTTAAAAACAATTATATATGGAGACAATTATGGAAAATTTCAACAAACTCTGAAACATGGAGACCTGGAACACAGAGGTCTTTGGCATGCTGAAGGAGTGCCTGGGCTCCAAAGCCAGACCAGGGAGGAGTCCCAGTGCTGACACTTACCAGCTGCATGATCTCACACTTGTAATTTAAACTCTGTGCTCTGCCCTCTGAGAAATGGCCATAATAATTCCCAATCCACATCACCACTTGGATAATTCGATCAATTACATCATGTTAGGAACCCAAAAGAGTGTCTAGCATGTGGCAAACACTCAATAAAAGCTAGTGATTTTTTATTATTGCTAAGCTGGCACTGTCCAACAGAAATATGTGAGCCTCATATATAATTTTAAGTTTTCTAGTAGCCATATTTTAAAAAAAGAAAGATTAAATTTTTAATAATTTTATTTGACCCAATATACTTAAAATAATAGCACTTCAACATGTAAACAATATGAAAAGTATTAATGAGCTATTTTATGTTCTTTTTTTTGCTGAGGAAGATTCACCCTGAGCTAACATCCATGCCGATCTTCCTCTATTTTTTTAGTATGTGGGCTGCCAGCACAGCATGGCCACTAACAGACCAGTGTAGGTCCATGCCAGGCAACCAAATCCAGGCCCCCAAAGCAGAGTGTGCTGAACTTAACCACTAGGCCACTGGGGCTGGCCCCTTACGTTCTTGTTTTTAACTAAGTCTTAGAAATCCAGTGTATATTTTACACTTACAGCATATCTCAAAGAGGACTAGCTCATTAGTACCAGTAGCCACATGTGGCCAGTAGCTACCATATTAGACAACGGAGCTCTAACGGTAGGATTATCAAAACTTTCACCATGCATTTGTCATATTGTTATCTTGAACGTTTTTTAAAATCATATATTGCTTTTACAATCAGAAA